ACATCAGATTTATTTTGTGTTACATCTAAAAGAAAAAACATGTAGTTTATTTTGTGTGTTTATTTTTATTTAACTTTAAATTAATTTTGTTGACAATTTTTATTCTTATTCGGAAGTTTAATTCATTAGGTTTATTGGATGTTGGATGGTTTATTCGTTAATCCAGCGTCAAATCCCATCGAAGATTGAAAGAGATGCAAATGAGTGGAGACTATGAGAAGCCAGTGAGAGTGCTCTCTAAGAACTCAAAACATTCGTGAGTTTGGAAAAATATTGGAAATTGTCGATTTGGCAGAGGGGCATGTGAATTGAAAAAATATTAGTTCGAAAGGTGGTATTTATATGAAGGTTCAGCTAATTCTACGTACTAAAAGTCACGATTGAAAGTTATGCAAATGAGTGGAGACACTGAGAAGCCAGTGAGAGTGCTCTCTGAGAACTCAAATCATTCGAGAGTTTGGAAAAATATTGAAAATTGTCGAACAAAAACAAAACAAAAATCATTCCTTGATGGGATTGGACGCTGGATTGATGAATAAACCATCCAACATCCAATAAACTTAATGAATTAAACTTCCGAATAAGAATAAAAATTGTCAACAAAATTAATTTAAATTTAAATAAAAATAAACACACAAAATAAACTACATGTTTTTTCTTTTAGATGTAACACAAAATAAATATATTTCTATATACTAATCGAATACTTGACATGAAATGTCAAATGAGATGTAGAGTTTTTATCCATTCATTCGTATTTTTGAATTTGTTGTTGTTGTTGTTGGTGGATGTAACTTATCCATTAAAAAAACATCCATGGATATTACTTATTCAGTCCTTTTAAAAACAAAATCTATCCATGGATGAATGGATGTTGGATAATGGATAATTTGGGGGACCATTGACAGTGAGCCCAGTAACGTAAGTGCATAGATGGGGTCTTTTTGGCCCTTTGAGAAATTTCATACAAAACTTATGCAAAATGGTATCCAACCATTGTGAAAAAAAATGACTGACTGACTATAAATTAAGTCAATTTTAATCACTTTTATTCGGTTAAAATTACCAATAGATGATTGAAATCAAATATAGTCGGTTATTTTTCAGAGTTAACTAAAAGTGATTATAGTCAACATAGTTGATAAAAGTCAATTTCATATACTTATAGTTAACAGTAGTTAACTATGATCACAATCGATATTTCTCAACTCAAGTTACATGAAGACGCATATAGTCACTTATAGTTAACTTTAGCTGGCTGAAATATCAGCCATTTTTGTCCCAAATTAGTCAATTTATAGTCGGCTAAGAAGTCGAAATATTTCCACAAGGAAATGAGTAAAATATGTCATTTTATAGTTTTACCATAGCTTATTCCTTACTTTCCAATATAGCATCACAATTTTATGTTGATTTTTTATGAAAAAATCAATTATAGCTAAAATGCTTGGTAGTTATTGATATTTATGACTTTTAGACAGTCGTGTCTTTCACTAATATCGCTAATCGACAGCCGTTGGCCAGTCAATGTGCTTCGTGTACTGCGCCGAACTACCTCTTGATATGTGAGATCAATATAGAGACTGCTTGCCGAAGGGCGATCGCACTTTGAATACTGTAGCTGTGCTGCTCTCTGGCATTTATAAGTTCAACCCTATGTAAACACTTTTCCCTCCTCTTCTTCTGCATTTGCAAGAAGCGTGTGTGTTATATCAGGTTAACTCTGAGACACCAGGTGGCAGCACATCTGCATGTTCGAAACCAATTACATTGCTTTATATGGAGTGCGATGAGATCGCGCTGCTTCCGTTCTTCCTCCATACTTGGCAAACACGGACGTTCGCAACAAGGCAAACCCCACCACACCAGCAACGTTCACCAAATTCATGAAATATCCCGTGTTTTCATGAAATGTGCCTTTGAAATGGCACGGACGCAGAAGTCTGCACCCTTCCGTATATGTAAAGAATGAAAGAGATGTGAGAGTGTAGCTATATATGTCTATGTGTGCGACATTAGTTGTACGTCTGAATACAAGTGAACAGTATCATCATTGAATACGAAAAGGTGCAGACTACTGCGATTGTGCCGTTTGAAAGGCATAACGAGAGAACACGGGATGCCCATACACAAAAAAAATAAAAATAGTAGATTTTTTAGGTTATGTGGTAGGCACATAGTTTACCACACAACAAGTAAAATCTACCACAAAGTATCACATGTATTTGCACTAATATTTGTAATCTACTACAAAGTGTCGCATCTATAAACTGTCAAATTTATAAATACCAATGCATGACACTTTTTACATGGGACACTTATTAATGTATACATTGTGTTTTGGATAGGATAGATCCGTAAGATCTCCGCAAGAGCTGGATCTAAGCGTGCGTACGCCACCGCATGATACATACTTTGATTGGCACGCCTGCTTTGATTTGCGCGTCGAAGCAACACAGAAAAACGAACGAATATATCATGCGGCGGCGTACGTTAGAGCTATAGTAAAACATTATTAGTATATTTTTTATTGCAATTTGTTTGTTTGTTTGTTTGTTTTTTAATCTTTCATTTGGTTTTAGGCTTTCTTATTTCTCAAATATTTTGCCATTTTCGTTGTAATTTTCCTGTGTTAATTTATGAGTTTTTAAAAATCAGTGATGGTTTTTTCCTATCTGAATAGCGCTAGCTATTCGCAGCGTCTGAACAGCATTGCTGCCCAGATGCTGAATCGAAGCGGTTGCCGCACGCGTTTTGTACCACACAACATATTGTCATATAGTCTAAGTAACCAGTGAGCTCACAGAGTATGATACACTAATACTATAGTCAGTATACAAACGCATGTCGAACAGAGAACGAATGCGAACGTATATGCTCTTTGTGGTACAAACGAAGTGTGTTGCACGTGCGGCAACCGCTACGATTCAGCATCTGGGCAGCAATGCTGTACAGGCGCTGCGAATAGCTAGCGCTATTCAGATAGGAAAAAACCATCACTGTTAAAAATTGACATTTTATTTTGGCACGAAGGCCCAGTTTACCCTTGTGTATGAGCCGACTGTAGCGAATTTTTTTAACTTCATTTTTGTAAACTTTTGGATTATGGTGGTACGTGCTGATTCCTCGATTGATATCGTCTTTTGAAAAACGACGATCCTCTGGAAAACGACAGCCGCTGTGTAGATGGGTCCCATTGATGATTTTTACTTCTATATTTTTGAATGAGTTTTCTTTGAAAAACGCATAGTCCATATCGGAAGTGAGTTCCAGCTCACTGTTACATGCCAAACGTGACGATGATTTCTGACGACATTGGCAAACCAACTGTAAGGGTCCACTTGGTACAAGACGAACCAAATCGTAATGGTATTCCATACCATCAGTTGCGCGAGCAATAAGGCGATGTACTTCAGACTTATCATTGGTCGTACACAAAAAGTATCTTGGAAGTATCATGGCTTCAACAACATTATTTGTATCACGCAGTGGAATTTCTTTGCAACGTAACGGCACACCCAAGTTTTTACACGCTTTGAGTGTTTCGTGTGTCACCATATATACAAGTTCATCAGTAGACACTTTCCGTACGTTCACATTGTTCAGTTTCATAATGCAATCATGCTGCATGATTGGTTTTTTTTATTTGCTCCCAGAGAAGTGTCATACTTTAATTTTTCGTCTGCGGTTTTTGGAAATATCAGACATTAGGTTTGAACTATGGATATAGCTGCTGCTATTTTATAGCCCCTATTCCATAGGCGCTGTGCAACGCGTGTACTGTGTACTGTGTGTACGTGTATGTTGTTCGTTTCCCCTTCACGTTTAGTAGTTTACCATACTACTAAACGTGAAGGGGAAACGAACACACAGTACACAATACACGCGTTGCATAGCGCCTAAGAAATAGGTGCTATGAAATATTAAATTTAATACATTTCTTGCCATCTTGAATGCGTCCAACCAACTCTCTGTTTGTTTTTTAATTCATTAATTGGCGAACTTTAAAAACCTTTTGGTGTTGCATATTTGCCACCAAGCTTTAGATAGTGATGAGTCTTACCAAACATTTTGTAACCTTGCTCTATATCTTCTTCCAGCGCCTCATCCTCATCCGATGAGAATTCCTCTCGCTATAGTACACGAGAGCGTCTTTTTTACTTTGTTGTTTCTACCGTTTCGACTTGTTCTTCTTGCTGTTGGTTGAATGGATCAAAATCATCATCATTCCAATGGTTTATATCTAACGTATCAAATTCATCAGTAAATATGCTGTTATTGTTGCTGGCGCTGGCATCCGGTACGGATTAATCATTACTGATGTTGTTGTGGTGGGTGAGTAATGAATTGTGACGGTTGATGCGGTGGAGGCATCAATCTATGCTGATATAGATAGTAATGTGGATAGTATCCCATTGGATTGTACGGTGGAGCCTGACATCCTTTATATCCTTGATATGGCTGATGTCGTCAGCCTGATGAAATGTTTGCTGATAGCCATGAGTTGTAGTTGTACTGCTGCCACGACTCTGTGAGTTGTTGTAGTCAGACAATAGATTGAACTAACTAGTCAGTTTTGCTGACAGTACGTAGCCAGCTAAATGAGCTAAAACAATAGAAGTCATTGTTATAATGAACAATCACTTCTATTAAAACCAGAGAAGTGATTCATCATTAATACAATAACGTCTATTGTTTTATCCTATTTAGCTGGCTAACGTACTGTCAGCTCAACTGACCAGTTAGTTCAATATATTGTCTGGTTGTAGTATGCTCAAATGTTGAACGAGGTGGTGGCATTTGAATGTATGACTGATATGGTGATTGATAACTATGTGGATAGTATGGTGGTTGGTACATTTGTGGACCTGGATAAATAGGCATGCCGGCGACATGCTATAAGAAAGAAAAAAACATACCACATTAGGTTGGAAAGAAGAAGCTGTACAGTAAGCTTACCACGTGAGGATTATATGATGGTGTTGGTGTCATTCGGGAAAATGGATCGTAATCACGATTGTTCGGGTAGTCAGTAAAAGACAATGGTTTTTTTTGTATCATTTTATTTTTATGTCTGTCATACACGGATTGTTCTTAAACACTAATTGTATACGGGCAGCACGGCACTGCCGTGCTGCTTAGTTTATTGAGGTGCCTGCACGATGTAACTACACAGATGCTTGTATCTGTGTGTTACTGCGTCGTACAGGCACTTGCTCAGCACAGTGCACCAATACCAGTATAAAATACTGTGTATTTGGCCACTGTACTGAACAACGATACTGTTGAAACTCTTGTGAATAAAATGCTACTCGTATAATAAAATAAAATATAAGAAAGGTCTTCTATATAAGGAAATGACTCAACTGAAGGCAATCGCTAATTCAATTGAAAGGGACTCATTTCCATCAACAACAAAAAATCAAACAAAAAATAATTGCAAAAAATACCAAGGCCGACAACGGATAGCGGAACCAGACATTATTTTGAGATATTTTCAGGCAGATGAATCAGCTCAGCCAGATATCGTCAAGAGCTGAAAATGAGTGAAAACAATAGAAGTGATTGTTTTGGCTGTAATTACACTTATATTGCTACAATCACTATAACAATCACTTTTATTGTTTTCACTCATTTTCAGCTCCTGACGATATCTGGCTGAGCTGAGCTGATTCATCTGGCTGAAAATATCTCAATATAATGTCTGAGCGGAACTTATGTTTGTGTTGCTGACAATGGCATTGGTGAACCAGTTCAACGTGAAGCCCAATTGGATATCGCCGGTAAGTGTGACATTTTCTCTAATCTTTCTTCGCTTTAATTCTATATATATATTAACAATCTCTACACACACACACACAAAAAAAAAACGTGTTTTTCACCTTCTATACTAATTGCACATTTTTCTTATTTTCAATTCTATCGCAATTTAACTTGTCGCATGGTGAATGGGATAAATTTTGGCTTTGCATTAAATTGCTCTATGTAGATCCTGTACAAAGCAATGCATACATTTTGGGTGAAACAAATTCAAGTACAATTGTTGAACTCAACCGACCAGCAACGATTCGTTGTTTGCCTGGCGGTTATCCAAAACCACATATTACATGGTGGAAAGGTAGAAATATGATGCCATTGAAAACGTCACGTTTTGAAGTGAGAAGTGACCATTCAATTGATTTCATTAGCATTGCATTGTCGGATTTGGGACCATACATTTGTCAAGCATACTCGGGAGAAGGTCGACCAGTCTCGAAGTATGTGACACTATTGGCCCCTGGTCCAGTGCATGCTGATTCGCCCGAAGATGAGCAATACTTACAATATGTTGTAAATGCAACATCATTGCAACCAACACCAAATTATCCACCCAGACAAACACCACCGGTCGAAACACAGGAACCAATTGGTAAGCAAACTCTCTCGCAAATGTGGATGATTTGATTTGATTTTCAACATGCTTCATTTTCAATTTCCGCTGCATTTGTTTTCATTAACTAATACTTTATGCGCGCACACACACACGCGCGCAGGAATTTCGCATTGGTTTCCAAACTTTTCATTTGCGATCAAATGATTTATCGATTTTTTGTTTCTTTCTTTCTTTCCATTTGCTTCTTTTGCACAGAACCAAGTTTCATATAAACTTGCTATTTGATGCCCATTGAATAGTAAGCGAATACCAATCTACTCAATTTTCTGTATCACCTGGTGAAATCAGAATGAAAAAAATCGCATTCCATATCATCTAAATCACGATCTGGACTTTTTTCACTGTTTGAGTGCTCTATACCGAGTCTCCGAGAGTTTCATATAAACTTGCTAAGTGATGCCTATTGAATAGTAAGCGAATACCAATCGTGATTGAATCAATAGGCGTTTTAATAAAATTTCTATTAACATTCTAATAAAAAATTCACTAACATTCTAATAAAAAATCTACTAAGACCTAATAATAATTAGTAGTTGTTAGTAGCTAGTAAAATAATAATTATTACTTCTTAGTGGCTACTAAGAATTACTAAATAATAAAGTACTAATGGAAAAAATCTACTAACTAATAAGAATTTTTATTAATTATTATTTATTAGTTACACCAATGCAAATTTACAATTAAATTTTATATCGATTACAGAAGCAAATACGCTGACGATTTATGGTGTTACAACCGATGATTCTGGTAGCTATAGATGTTCGGCACAAAATCGCTTCACTTCTGCATTCCACGAAGAACAAATAAATGTTGAAGGTAATTTCAAAATCCATTCAAAATGAACAGTTTTACACAATTGCATTCTTTTTTCTTTCTTTATTTTGTTCAGGTGCTTATGTACCCACCAATTGCGTAGATAATGTATTTTTCGCCAATTGTAAACTTATTGTTAAAGCCAAATACTGTACTCATCAGTACTATGCCAAATTCTGTTGTAAATCGTGTACACTTGCTGGCCAATTGCAGTCAAACTTCGATACAAACCTCTTATAATTAAAATGAACAAGACTTTTGATGCCCCGTGATGATGGGAAATTTAAGAACAGTAGACAATAATAAATAATAAAACACAATCATTTCAAAACAGTAAAGTAATAAGCTAACAAAGGAAAAACAGACAAACTATACATAGAATTTTACCAAAACTAAGTCAATCGACATGTCAAATTGTTAACATGATGAACTTAAAATTACGATTAAATTTTCTTCTTTTTTAAATATGTTACCCGATTTTTCTTTTTAAATAAAATGCGTTTACTCCAATCATCAGATTAAGTAATGACAATTCTGACGTTTTCTCACTGCAATATTAAAAATAAACATTTTTTTGTAAAAATACGAACACACAAATTTAGTTCGCGTGTTTTTTTCTCTTTTATCCGAACAGAAAGTAGATATTGTCGATTGGTGTAAGTTTGATGTTCGGTGGCTGGGAGGAAAAATTGTCGTAGAAGAAATAATAAACCTTCTTATTTTCAATGTCAACTCGAATATACAGGTCACCTCGATCTCAACTGCATATAGCACTAGTTCGTAATTATTTTTTGAACATTGTTCCAATCATTTCGTTGGTTTGGTTTTGGTTGACGAATTCATGCGAAAAGGTAATCATTTTTATCGAAAATAATCCTACAACTTCTGATACAGAAGAGCTTAACACATAAGTACTACTGTGATCAAAAAGTAAGGTGAATTTGTGAATATTTTAGAAAATCTTTATTTATTCTTCCAAATCGATTTCATCGCCTTCAAAGTAATCCCCCCCGGCTGCAATACACATACGCCAACGTTTTTCCCAGTCTTCGAAACAATGTGAAAAGCTACTTTCTGGTATGGCCTTCAATTCATGTAGCGATTTACGTTGAATCTCTTCAATCGACTCGAAATGATGTCCACGAAGCGGTCTTTTGAGTGTAGAGAACAGCCAGAAGTCACACGGTGCCAAATCGGGCGAATATGCAGGTTGATGAACGATATGAGTCTGAAATCATTTCTTGACACACATTAACACGACGCTCTTTTTCGAATAAATTCAATGTTTTTGGTACCAATCGAGCTGCACAACGACGGAGACCTAAATGATCTTTCAAAATTGTTTGAATTGATCCAAATGAAATGCCAGTAATATCTACAAGGTCTCTGATTGTCAATCGACGATTTTTCAGCACAAGATCTTTGATTTCCTTGACGTGTTCCTCATCAGTTGATGTTGATGGTCGTCCCGAGCGATCTTCGTCTTCAACGCGTTCTCTGCCTTCTTTGAACAATTTATGCCATTTGAAAGTATTTTTTTGCGACATGGCCTGTTTACCGAAGGCCTTCTGCAACATTCTGAACGTTTCCGCACCAGAAATTTCATTCCGCAAACAAAATTTAATACAATATCTTTGCTCAACAAAATCAGTCATTATGAAAATCGCCAAATGAAAATTTCTTGATGTAAACAAAGTAGCGTAGCTCATAACCTAATCGAAATACTGTAATGAAATGTTACACAGTTATCAAAAACAGTGCTGCCAACCTAATAAAAAAAGAATTTCGACGATTGCATTTCCCCGCGAAGATTGAATAACAAATTCACCTTACTTTTTGATCACAGTAGTATAAAACACTTCTTCACTGGTACGCAATACTGTAAATCTGAAAATATTCTGATATAAATTTTCAGTGACGCGGTCGTTCATATACATACAAATATTAATATTGCGTCGCCCATTTTACCTCAAGAGAACGATAACATGTAAACAACACGAAAATAATAGAATTGAATAAAAACAGCACATTTTTTTTTTGTGTTAAACTTTCAGAGGCAACGTAATATTAATATTTGTATGTATATGAACGAACGCGTCACTGAAAATTTATATCAGAACATTTTCAGATTTACAGTATTGCGTCACAGTGAGAACTTCGAAAGAAGTATTTTATACTTATATCAATAGTTTTTTTAGTATGTTGATGACAAAATTCTAACGCTAAGTGTGTTGAGACCTAATTTTATCGTAAAATAAATGTCATATTCGGTTTTCTCGTACCAAAAAACCCCCAAATACCAATTTTCATAGCAATAGAATAAAAGCTAATTTTTTCCGGAATATCATTCCAAAGAAATGGTTTCAAGCCGAAAAATCTCAAAAAATTGAACTAATTTCTCAAAACGGTTGCCACCATCGAATTCCTCGGTTCCGAATTATGTAAAATCAGTTCACAAAGTGAACCAACGAAATAAATACCTAGCACATTACGGTGCTAACCATAAGATATTAAAGCATAGGTGGCCGCTTAATTTCACACTTTTACCGATTTTCACTAAAATAAAAGAATGTTGTCATTTCAAAATGTGGATATCGGATCAAAATTGAGTGCGCTTTCGATCTATGATGAAAAAAGCCAAGCCACTCATACATTTTTTTGAAATAAATGACGATTAACTTCGATTTTCATCGATTTTTCCCCATTTTTCGAGGTCCAGTCATTCTGATCCAACCTTTTCCGCTGTATTCTTTTTAAAGAATAACTCAACGCTTTATACCATTTCTCCACTCAAAGCTGTTCACAATTTTTTTTTTTCGAAAAAATAATTTCGGTGGTCAAAAGTGTCACCTGGCGGCCAAATTTTGAATTTTTGTGGGTATTGCGTCACTTGGGGGACTGCCGTCTCCCGTGATATATTTTTGACAGAATTGCTGGGAGACTTATTTCGCTCGATGTATTTATTGTCTTATACTAATTGAATTTGTGATCGTCGTTTGCATTGGTTCAGTACTTCGTTTAATTCGATTTTTGATTTACAAACATCTGTGGCCCAATATCGGCCTGTCTGAGTTCAATATATGTATCCATGGGAATAAAAGTGGCAATACAAAAACAGAATCTGAAGAACGTCACATAAATTTTTTTTTGTATGGAGTTATACTATGTAAAAAAAAAATTATGTGACGTTCTTCAGATTCCGTTTTTGTATTGCCACTTTTATTCCCATGGACACATATGTGATTTTCAATCAAACACTTCTGTGGATCGGAATCTTTTTCTCGCAACCACTTGCAGCAGTCATTGTTTTCAAAATGGTTCCGACATTTTATTTGAAGGTAAATTTTGTTGAAAATCACTTTAATTGAAAAAAAATTGTTCTTTATTAACCCTTAACCGCACAGGCTAAAACAACAGTAACGGGCTCACTGTCAATGGTCCCCCAAATTATCCATTATCCAACATCCATTCATCCATGGATAGATTTTGTTTTTAAAAGGACTGAATAAGTAATATCCATGGATGTTTTTTAATGGATAAGTTACATCCACCATCCATCAGAAATTTATTAATGAAGAAAAGAAAGAGAGAGATCCACTTGGATAGAGGAGAGTTATAGTGCATCCATGGATGAGTTATATTTTATGGATAAATAAATAGGTTGGATTTCAAAAATACGAATGAATGGATAAAAACTCTACATCTCATTTGACATTTCATGTGAAGTATTCGATTAGTAAATAGAAATATTGGATGATGGATGAAACATCTGATTCATTTTGGATTTGACAAGATAGATCAACAAGTTTCAATTTTCAGTTAAAAACATGTATTCTATTTTTTGTCTGTATTTTTATTTCAGTTCGAACTGTTGACATTTCTTATTCTGAAGTTTAATTCATAAAGTTAATTGGATGTTGGGTGGTTTATTTATAAATTCAGCTTCCAATCACAACAAGGAATGATTTTCGATGATCTTTTTATGATTCGTTCAACACTATATTTTTTGTATTAAGTTTTTTGAACATTTTTAGAATCAAGATTAATAACATTAGATAAAAATATATCAATGGATACTGTATCCATGGATGTTGTACGCTGTATCTTTCCCCCGAAACTTTATATAAAATCTGATTTTACAGGATGATTGGAGGTTGCGAGGAATAGAAAACATTAGATTTTGAACGACTTAGGTTGATAGAGTGAAGTGTCATGACAGAAGTGATGCCTATGAGAAAGATTCCAATTTCATGTGAAGTATTCGACCATTTCTATATATATTGGATGATGGATGAAACATCAGATTTATTTTGTGTTACATCTAAAAGAAAAAACATGTAGTTTATTTTGTGTGTTTATTTTTATTTAACTTTAAATTAATTTTGTTGACAATTTTTATTCTTATTCGGAAGTTTAATTCATTAGGTTTATTGGATGTTGGATGGTTTATTCGTTAATCCAGCGTCAAATCCCATCGAAGATTGAAAGAGATGCAAATGAGTGGAGACTATGAGAAGCCAGTGAGAGTGCTCTCTAAGAACTCAAAACATTCGTGAGTTTGGAAAAATATTGGAAATTGTCGATTTGGCAGAGGGGCATGTGAATTGAAAAAATATTAGTTCGAAAGGTGGTATTTATATGAAGGTTCAGCTAATTCTACGTACTAAAAGTCACGATTGAAAGTTATGCAAATGAGTGGAGACACTGAGAAGCCAGTGAGAGTGCTCTCTGAGAACTCAAATCATTCGAGAGTTTGGAAAAATATTGAAAATTGTCGAACAAAAACAAAACAAAAATCATTCCTTGATGGGATTGGACGCTGGATTGATGAATAAACCATCCAACATCCAATAAACTTAATGAATTAAACTTCCGAATAAGAATAAAAATTGTCAACAAAATTAATTTAAATTTAAATAAAAATAAACACACAAAATAAACTACATGTTTTTTCTTTTAGATGTAACACAAAATAAATATATTTCTATATACTAATCGAATACTTGACATGAAATGTCAAATGAGATGTAGAGTTTTTATCCATTCATTCGTATTTTTGAATTTGTTGTTGTTGTTGTTGGTGGATGTAACTTATCCATTAAAAAAACATCCATGGATATTACTTATTCAGTCCTTTTAAAAACAAAATCTATCCATGGATGAATGGATGTTGGATAATGGATAATTTGGGGGACCATTGACAGTGAGCCCAGTAACGTAAGTGCATAGATGGGGTCTTTTTGGCCCTTTGAGAAATTTCATACAAAACTTATGCAAAATGGTATCCAACCATTGTGAAAAAAAATGACTGACTGACTATAAATTAAGTCAATTTTAATCACTTTTATTCGGTTAAAATTACCAATAGATGATTGAAATCAAATATAGTCGGTTATTTTTCAGAGTTAACTAAAAGTGATTATAGTCAACATAGTTGATAAAAGTCAATTTCATATACTTATAGTTAACAGTAGTTAACTATGATCACAATCGATATTTCTCAACTCAAGTTACATGAAGACGCATATAGTCACTTATAGTTAACTTTAGCTGGCTGAAATATCAGCCATTTTTGTCCCAAATTAGTCAATTTATAGTCGGCTAAGAAGTCGAAATATTTCCACAAGGAAATGAGTAAAATATGTCATTTTATAGTTTTACCATAGCTTATTCCTTACTTTCCAATATAGCATCACAATTTTATGTTGATTTTTTATGAAAAAATCAATTATAGCTAAAATGCTTGGTAGTTATTGATATTTATGACTTTTAGACAGTCGTGTCTTTCACTAATATCGCTAATCGACAGCCGTTGGCCAGTCAATGTGCTTCGTGTACTGCGCCGAACTACCTCTTGATATGTGAGATCAATATAGAGACTGCTTGCCGAAGGGCGATCGCACTTTGAATACTGTAGCTGTGCTGCTCTCTGGCATTTATAAGTTCAACCCTATGTAAACACTTTTCCCTCCTCTTCTTCTGCATTTGCAAGAAGCGTGTGTGTTATATCAGGTTAACTCTGAGACACCAGGTGGCAGCACATCTGCATGTTCGAAACCAATTACATTGCTTTATATGGAGTGCGATGAGATCGCGCTGCTTCCGTTCTTCCTCCATACTTGGCAAACACGGACGTTCGCAACAAGGCAAACCCCACCACACCAGCAACGTTCACCAAATTCATGAAATATCCCGTGTTTTCATGAAATGTGCCTTTGAAATGGCACGGACGCAGAAGTCTGCACCCTTCCGTATATGTAAAGAATGAAAGAGATGTGAGAGTGTAGCTATATATGTCTATGTGTGCGACATTAGTTGTACGTCTGAATACAAGTGAACAGTATCATCATTGAATACGAAAAGGTGCAGACTACTGCGATTGTGCCGTTTGAAAGGCATAACGAGAGAACACGGGATGCCCATACACAAAAAAAATAAAAATAGTAGATTTTTTAGGTTATGTGGTAGGCACATAGTTTACCACACAACAAGTAAAATCTACCACAAAGTATCACATGTATTTGCACTAATATTTGTAATCTACTACAAAGTGTCGCATCTATAAACTGTCAAATTTATAAATACCAATGCATGACACTTTTTACATGGGACACTTATTAATGTATACATTGTGTTTTGGATAGGATAGATCCGTAAGATCTCCGCAAGAGCTGGATCTAAGCGTGCGTACGCCACCGCATGATAC